AAGACATGCAAGTCACTCAGAGGATTAGAACAGTGTCCTAACCAACACAAGAGCTTTACATACCCTGAAGCCTCCCTAGAAGGTGTAGAACACACAGCTTGGCAGGGAGGGGAGAACCACTAAAAGCCAAAACAGCCTCAGATACTGGTGAGGCACAGTTAAAAATACATTTTCAGAGCATGGAAGGTGTTACCACTATGTGAAACCCTGACATTGAGCTCACTGTTGGTCCACACTCATAAATTTCAGGGTCAGACAGATAAGAGATGAAGTATATAATAAAATTAATACAGTCAGAGATTCACTCAGTTGGTTTTCAGCTGCCTTACTTCAAAGAATTGCCCAGAAACTTTCTAAACACAGTATTCAGAGTAATTAAGTGTGTTCAGGAATATTTCAGAGAAGAATAGATTAGCTGAGAATGATTCCTTTGTCTCAAGAGTCTGATGCAAAGAGACACCTTCTGTCCTGAATCAGTGCCAGCTACGTTAATTAAGGAAAACTTGGGTAGCACAGAGGAATCTGCACTGCAATATTAGCTTAAAACTGCTTCAGGTGCTTGATTCTGAGAACACTTTTCCTCTGGAAAAGACAGGGTCTTAGGCTGCTGCATCTAAAAATACCCCAGTTGCTCTTACAGTACAATTACTGAGCGAAATGGCAGGTAACCCTCCACAGAGGTATTTGCATGAAAGAAAGACAGGTTAGATTTTCAAAAGCAGAACTAGGATTTAAGCACTAGGCACTGCTATTTCCATTGCTTTCCAAGAAACTGGATGTCTAACCACTTCATATTCCTTAAAATCTCCCCCTAAGCAACAAAAAAGTAATGAGAGGGCTGTGTTTTTCCTCAGGAAATGACAGCTTGAAATTTTTGTTGAATTTGGACAGAATCATATTGACAAAGATTGACTGATCTGTCCAAATATATCCTAAAGTTTAGTAACATGATTATTCATAACGATTTCATTTTAATTATTATTTAGAAATTTGTTGGGTTTTGAGTAAGAAAAGATTGCTTGTATTAGACTAAAAATATCTCTAGTGCAAGATGTTAGATTGCTAAGATTTGTTTCACTTCTTGCTAGCCAAACTTCACCTAACAGCTCAATATGCATGTTACAATGATGCTGGAATATCTGAACAGTTGTTTTGATAAAAAGAGAAGAATAAATAAGGGTAGAGAAGAAAGCTTATTTTAATTCAACAAGAACATGTTAAAAGAACTCTCAGTGTTGCACCAGGTGATTGGAAGGGTCCCTTCCTCAGTGATTCTGTGATTCAGTTTAATAGGATAATCAAGTGAATTTATATTCCTATCATACGCTCTCTTGACTGAAAGAGTGGGATTTTTCTGAGTCTTTTTGATAAAAGGACTGAGTGTTTTTTGTCATCAGACTGATTGTAATAAAATCTGTCACAGAAGAAAGGCCACGCTCATCTCTCCAGTCTGTTATAACAACAGATGATGTGATCCATAGGCAGAAAACTCTATTTCACTTGCTCTTTCTGCATCATTTTTAACCTTGCAATTGCTACCAAAAAACCCAAACCAGAACAAATTGCATTGATAAGCATAGGACATTAATAAATTGAAAGACTGTAGAGTAAAAAGGATTAAAACATGAAAACCTGGTCAAAAATTGAATAGTACATCAGAATACCTGTAAGACATGCCATGAGCAAGATATTCAGAGAGCTGGTGTGTTTGTGGCCTTACTGCAAACCTTAGCTGAGTATTTGGCTGTTGGCACTGCATGGAAATAACAGCAGTGCCTTCCACGTCCTCTAACAATGACATTACAGTCTCAGTAGACACAGAATTGGATGAAGCTCCTTAGTCTCAGGAGTGTTTAATCTGGAGCCATCCTGAAGATCTATCCTCATCCTGTCTGTCCATCAAAAGGCCTTTGCTAGTGTGAAAGTTTATTGCAGAGCATGTGCTTATAAAAGATTGCTGTATGGACCTGCAGACCTACGTGTTTTGAACAAAAATATGTAGGCTTACTTTCTATGGAATACATTCTCCATTATCAACACACACTAATACTGTCCAGGCATTCCAACATGATGGAATTTAGGAGCTCAGCTGGTCCTGCAGCCATGAGGATTAACCTGTAGTTATGAAATTTTGACTTGGATTCATATCAACACCTCAGGACACTTGGCTGACCTTGTGGTTGTGCCAGGAAAGACACCAGTGCATGTAGATTCTCTACTGCAGGGTATCAACAGGTCCATGCAGAGTGTGTACAGACAGCAGACATACCAGTTAGCCACCAGTGAACTGGCCAAATGCTACAAGTGAGTGTTAGCAAAACCTTGGCAGATCGTGCACCTGCACTCAGATTCACAGGTGCTGTTTAGACTTGCATCAGATACTGCTCTGCAAAACACATTGCTCTTAGTTCTTGTGAAAACAGAATTTAGAAGCAGCTGGATTTTTGAGGAACACTCTCTGTGCTGCAGATCTCTGATTTTTCTAAGGACAAAAAAAGTAAAGACTTACCCTGCTCTCATTACAAAGCAGAGGAAATCACTGGCATCAGATGAGTGCTGCTACCACATGAGAATACAGATAAACAGGCTTAGAAAAACTGAGACAGCTGGAAAGATGGAGTAAAAATTATACAGAAAATCCAGGATGTAACAGTACAAATGGCTAATGGAAAAGCAGCTCCAGGATGCAGCCAAAAATCTCTTCCTTTGGGACTGCTCTCACCTCAGCTATTCACACTGGATCTGCCCAGTTGTTGGAATGCCAGTCAGGTGTGCAGGTAACAGCTTAGAGCACTATCCTTCAGTCACACTGTCTTCCACAGAAGTAAGACAGATACATGATGGTCCCTTTTCCACCCACAGAAACAAAAATTTCGTACCAAAACTTCTTCTGACACAAAGGAGTCGGGAAGAAGGAAAAGCAAGATGATGTACAAACAATCTGCTCATGCTGTGACCTGGCAAGTTACCTGAACTTTTTACTGCCCATCTTCTCTGGGAGTAGGCTGGGAGCTAAGGGGCTGATGTTATTGAGGTGTGTTACTAAACCCCTCCCAACTCTCCAAATGAAAAGCAGTTCCTATGGCACTCATCTAACTTTTCTCATTATACGAGTTCTCTAGAAGATTCTGTCCTCTGCTAAAGTCATCTTCAAGGTAGGGACTGTTGGTCTGCCTTTCAAATTGTTCCTCACCTTCACACATCCTTGGCATTGGGGCAGTCTCTAGTTCTCACCTTGTAATCTTCTGGCTGGTTCTGACAAGTCCCAGTTTCTCATTTCTTTCAATGCTGGATCATTTACTTGAATCAGTCCTTTGAAAAAAAAAAAGGTAGCCTTTTTGCAGACCTCTGATGTATTTCTTCCTGCTTCTCCAGGGAACCCAAGACAAATTGCTTTATTGTGAAGGTCTTCCTTCACTGCTGCTTCCTGGATCCTCAGCTTTTTAATCAGAGATGTTGTGCTCTTCCTCCACCTCCAGACTTGTTTACCAATAAATATTCAAAAAATTTCAAGAGCCCCCCTTTCTACTTTCTCCCAAATTGCCTTTTATGCATGGGAGGAAATTCTTTAATTAATTCAGCTCTGAAACTCCTTGCTGTAATTCCAAACAGCTGCTGTGCTGTCCCCACTGTTAATGAGCTTTGTCTTCATTTGACTTGGAGAAGGACAGAAAGGGCCATGCTGGCTAAAATTATTTGAAATTGGTTTTCAGCATGCAAAATAAACTGGACAGCTCCTGCATGAAATGGATTGTAGTGTCACCCCCCTCTCCTGCAGCAATGTAATCTGTCTGGCCAGCGAGAATGAGACTCACAGCAGGGGCACAAGGTATTGACTTTTCCACTTTTTGGAGAAATATTCTTTTCTTTTATTTTTCAAATGGGCTGAGGCTGTTTCATCTGAATTGTCATTCTTAAATAATTGTCTTAGCAGGAGCAGTACATTTCAACCTCCTGCCATCCTTTGAAATTTAGGCTAGCTGTTAGCTCAGAGAGATGCAGCCTGACATTCCGAACCTACACGCAGTGTGAGGAATTACTTTGATCAGTTTGTGTTTATAATTTAAGGCAGTAAAATAGATTTCTCACTAATTGTGTTTAAGGCATGATGTATTGTGTAATTCACAGAGAGACTCGTTTCAAAAACACTGTAACCATAAAAACAGCTGTTCCACTGAGTCATTTTCCCTATGTGCATCTTAAAGGAAAATAGAGCAAAAACCTCTCCCAGTTGTAACTTATTTGTGTTGATGCTGTGTGATAATGCTGGAAACATTGGGAATAACAACAGAAAACTCATCTCCATGTTCCTTTTTATACCAGAAGTTTGGAAACAGAAAAAAAAGTGCCTTTGGACTTAAAAGCCAGAAAAATCTCAGTTTTGAAGAGATATTGGTATCCTAATTAAATTACAACGAGCAAACCATGTATTGATAGTCAAAAATAATTTGCAAAGATAGGAATGAGTCTAAAACTGGAAGGAATGGAATTCAAATAATAAGATGCATCAGCTGAATACCTAAAAGAATTCATGTCACATGTGCATGTGTGCACATTCTCATGGTGTTTAAGTACAATACAGTCTCTGGAAGAGAAGATGGTAAGATGGAAGCAGGTGGAGGAAACTGCACTCCATAAAAGGAGTTTAAAAAAAAGACAAAAGGTACTGCAGGCACAGATCTTTCCTCAGTAAAAAGTTGAGTGAGCAAGTGAACAACACTTTTCACTTTTAGAATGACCTTTCATCCCGCCCAGTTTGGGGGGCAGGGAAATATAAGATAAATCCCATCAAGGTAAGCCTTATATTAAATTCCAAACAGATGGAATATTTTTTCCTAGGGATGGGGGAAAGAAGAAAGAATGGAGCTTTTAATATACTTCTGGTTTATGACTGGGATAGGGACCAGAATTTAATTTTTGTGGCTCTGCAATCTGGAGGTGTTTACTTCCCATATTGAGGCTTTGGAGATGCTGAGCTCCAGAGAGCACAGAGATGTGACATGGATGTGTTTTTCTTGTTTGCAGATATCTCAATAAGCTTGCTGTCCCTAGTTGTCACGGCCTGTGGTCTTGCTCTGTTTGGTGTGTCTCTGTTCGTGTCCTGGAAGCTCTGCTGGATCCCTTGGCGAGAGCGTGGTCTGCCGTTCGGGAACAAAGACAACAAGCAGGAATCCCTGAACTACACAGACACAGACACCAATGACCGAGACTACAGCGAGGATTATCTGGGTCAGCCTACAGCCTATCCCGAGTCCTCCATGAAGATCAGCCACACCTCCCCCGACATTCCCTTGGACACGCAGGCGGGAGCGAAGGAGAACTGTGCGCACAATGCGCGAATGCATCGCCAGGTCACCGAACCCACCTCTTCTGCTCGGTCAGTAGCTCCTCTGCCTCCCTGATGTTAATCCATCCACAGCCAGGCAAAAGAGCACAGCTTGATTAGCCTCTGCGCTGATCTCGGAAAAAAAAGGATCATTTATTTGTCACGTTCCTTTCAAAAAAAATTACACAAAAGTTACTCTTTGAGGTCCACAAACTTCGGAGGTTGAAGGGGCAGCATCAGAATCCTGTTCCATTTGTGCTTCTCCCTCAGAAGCTGGGTAACACAGAGCACTGTGTGTCCCTGAAATGCATCAGAACAGCCTCAATTTAGCTTGTAAAGCATATTCATTTGCACTTAGCACTGATGCTGAACAGTCAGTAATATCTCCTCAAAGATTTTTAAAACAACCAAAGAAGAAAAGTAGGGCAAGCTAATGAAACACTTGCAAGAGTTAGAAATAGGATTGAAAATCATAGATTTTAGCCACAATCATGACTGTGGGGGGAAAAGTGACTGAACAAGAGTCAGTGAAGTCTCTAGGGGAACTGGAGAACCAGTACATGAGGGAAGAGAGAAGGGGGAGGGTGAGAGTGTGTGCAGGGGCAGGTGATGAAAGAACTATATTTCATACAGTAAGAAAAATACAGTAAATTCCTGAGTCAAAATTCAGCCTGAGAAGATACAGCACTAGCCCAATGGCTCTTTGCTAGCCTCTCCTTTCTGTCTGTCTGTCTGTGAGAGCAAATCTAACCAAGACTCTTGCCTGCAGGCACACCTGAGCATGGGTGAGATGACAGCAGCCAGTTCAGTAATTGCCAGTTGTCCAAAACGTGTCTCAGAATTTGAGAAATCCTCAGAGCATTACTAATGCTAAGTAACAAATGCTCCAGGTGCCTTTCCTCAGATTAGAAGAATGGCTTGGGTTTATACTGTGGTAGGACTCTATTGGGAGGTCAAAGCCATGATTACCATTCTGAAACTTTCACCCTCCCACACACAGGGTTGGATTCCAGCCTTGAGGACTGATAGCCCAGAGGTGCAGGGCAGGGTGGTGCTGCTGGGTGCTCAAACTGCTGGGAAATGAGCATGTTATGAGATTCATTAGCAACAAAGGATCTATATCAACATCTGATGGCAAGGGCTGTCATGTGTGTCTTCCATACTGTGGAAGTCCTGAGTCTGAGACAGGTTTTCTCTGCTACAGCAGGGCAGGAATTCTGATCCTTAGTCAAATACCAAATGCACACCATCACCACAGTGTGGTCATCCCACAGGAAGCAGCAGCACTACTGATGTGTAGAGGACCTTGCCTCAGCATCCTGAGTGCATGGACAAGGTCTTCACTCTTGTGCAGATCTTTCCTCTGGCCACTGCTCCCAGGCTGCTTCTCCCAGCAGGTGCTACACTGGGTCTGTGCCCACAAGGACATGCCTTGTCTGGGTGGCACCCCTGCCCCATCCTGCTTGCTGACACACGATTTGCTCTTTTACCCTCTCTTTCATTGTGCCCCTTACTTATGCCCAGGTCTTCTGTGAAAGACTTTCACTGAGCAGGAGGGGCCAAACTTCCTTGTGCTGCATCCTTCAGCAGAGACATCCCCTTTGTCTCTGCTGCTTTCTGCCATAACTGGGGAGTCAGCTGTGTCTTTCTCTGTGGCCACAGAGACCAGACACCTGCCCCTCTACAGTCCCTGCTAAGCTGTATCTGCAGTGCCCTCCTTTTAATTCCTCCACAGGATATTCTGCACCTCCCACTGCAATGAGGAGCTTAAGGGTTGAAAAATTTACTTTCCTTTTTTTTTTACGGTGACATGATAATATTTTATCCTGGAAATGACTAATGTATAGCTAAAAGATTATGCATTTATTATGCAACAAGAGGAAAAAATGAGGATAGTACATAAGAGGCTGTTCCTGTTTTAAGCATGCGTAAACACACAGTTACAAGGAATGAATGAACAATGATAGCAGAGGAACTACTGCTGATTAGATTCAATATAAATAGCTTTGGACTAATCCTGTGCTAGCATTTTCCACGTGCTCTTTCTGTGTTCAACCACAGCTCATGGGACTCCAATACACTGAGTGATTGTTGCATATGAATAGGAAAATAAAATGGAATCCAACTTGTGTAAGATTAGGATTTTACATAATCCAGCTATCACATCCCCCTACCCTGGCAGGGTTTGCAAATGTGATTTCTCTTACCATTCATGAAGGAGAAATTTCAGTCACAGTGAGTGAGTGACTCCAGGTAATAAATTCCAAAGCTAAAAGCAACTTTTTATGCTCAAGTAACAAAACTAAAGGAGCTTTTCAGCCAAAGTACCACAGAGCTTGTTACGTCAGGTATGAGAGAAAAAATCACAACAATTGGTCGAGGTGGTCAACAAACCATTTCAGACCAGAACAGTTCACTTTTAAATGAAGTAGTCATAGAAATCAACAAGTAATTAAAATGCAGAGATGTCAGGAAGCATCGTCCTTTGTCCAACTTTACCTCTGAAGCAGAAATCAGCCAGCTCAGCTGATCCTGCTGCCATTTGCATAATGCAACTCATTTCACAGGCATTAATTTAAAGAATTCAGTAGAAAATGGCAACTGATAAGAACAGCCACAGTTCTTATGTGACACTGTAGTTGCCAATAAGGGAAATCCTTCGGATTTGCAATGGCTATGAATTTCCATTAGCCACCTCCTTCAGCCAGGTTTGGGGAGAGAAGAGCAGTAGCTTGCAAGAGGGGAGCAGAAAATGATGTGCCATTAGCAGATGCTGAGGGTCAGCTCTCACTGCCCTTGGGTCTGTGCTTTACCCCTTCGTGCGACTAGAGATCTGACAAAATGTCAGATGAGAACAGGATCTTCAGTGTGTGTGCACAGATTCTTATCCTCATAACATGATCTGTTTCAATTCTTCCGTTTTCACTTAAGGCATAATTCGATACGGAGACAGCTCAACCTCTCCAACCCTGACTTCAACATCCAGCAGGTGCAGAAACAGGAGCAGCTGACAGGGATTGGCCGCATTAAGCCAGAGCTGTACAAACAAAGATCAGTGGACACAGACGATGGCCGGAGGGGTAATACCAAGGCATGTGGAAGACTGAACTTTATTCTCAAATACGATTGTGATTTGGAGCAGCTGATCGTGAAGATACACAAGGCCATCAACCTGCCTGCCAAGGACTTCTCTGGAACTTCAGATCCATACGTGAAGATATATCTGCTTCCCGATAGGAAAACAAAACACCAGACTAAAGTGCACAGAAAGACCCTAAATCCAGTATTTGATGAAGTTTTTTTATTTACTGTCCCGTACAATGATCTCAACACAAGGAAACTCCATTTCTCTGTGTATGACTTTGACAGATTCTCCAGGCATGACTTGATTGGCCAAGTGGTAGTGGATAATTTTTTAGATTTGGCAGATTTTCCCAGGGAATGTAATATTTGGAAGGATATTGAATATGTCACCAATGTAAGTATTATAACTTTTCTTTTTGAATGTTTTATTTTTGTTTCTGATTTTATTTCCTTAATCTGATTATAACTGAAATTGTTACATTTATGGAGGTAAATACTCTATTCTCTCTCTCCTTCTCAAGCTTTGACCTTAATCCAAGAAAATTGACAGTACATTTTCAGTCCCCATTTCTTGGTCTTTGGGTATATTAAAGAATGTTTTATGTAGGAGATAGTGGGCTTAGTCATTGCCCTGCTGATAGGGTATAGAAATGCTAGAGAATCTTTTTCTCTTAATCTTCCTTAATCTAAAAGGAAGCATTCTTTACTTAAGGAAATACTGCTATTCTTATTTTGTCTGTCTTTCTGTGTTCTGCATGATTTGTGGCGTAAATTGCAGCATCCCAACCAGCCAGAACTGCAGGCTCAACATTGCTTACGTAGTGATCCTCAGTCCTTCAAAACACTATATTCTCACAAAGCCAGATAACCCCCCAGCTCTAATCCAGCTATCAGTGCTGTTCCATGGAAGCAATGAAACACATGGAATTGGTTTAACTCTTTGTTCGGCATCCCTTTCTTCCTAGGGAAATGGGAAACATCTACGTCTGTATTTCAGTTGTCCCAGAGTCTCTGGTATAAAATTCTGTGCAGGAATCCAAATAGTGATTAAGTATAAAAGCACAGAAATTACTTCTGGAAAAGAAAGAGCTTTGTCAGAGCAGGAACCATCCTCCTTGTAATGCTGTTAGAAGTGAATCCTACACATCCTCTGGAGAACAGACCTTCAGTGAGAATGATACATTACAGAAGTCCACAGAGGTGAAGGTACCAGTGCCAAGAGTCAGTAAATATTTCATTTGCTGTGTCAAACCATTCTCAAATGGAGTGCACGTTTTAGAGTCAAATAAGCCAAACATCATTAAGAGTAAGATCAAAGTGTAAGTCTCTCAGACCTCAGTTCAGGAAAGCATTTATGCGTATGCTTAGCTGAGAATAAGAAGTCATTGAAAAGTAAGGGATGTTCTGAGACAACGTTTCTGAATTCAGACCCTCACCTTATACCTCTATGGTCTGGTAGCATGCCTATACTACACACCAAATTGGTTAAATCCATTCTGTTGATTGGAATTTCTTCTTGAAATCAGTATTTTCGTTGTTTTAAGGTGATTTCTCAGTTGGTCTGTGGACTGTGTGGTGCACCTGCTGCACAGTCCTGTCCCACACCAGGATGGAAGTGCAGCAGCAGCACGAGCAGTTCCTCATTCAGGGTACAGGCAGGGACATGGACGCTCAGTGTGGCTTTTAGATGAAAAGATACTGCTTTTCAACCACAAGGGAAGAGTAAGGCTGTGACAGAGAAGCTGACAGTCATTCCAAGTGAAAGCTTGGCTTCACACAGCATCAAGAGTCCCAAGATCAACTTCATTTTTACAGTCAGCTGGAAGTTGAATGCACACACACACTGGACACGTACGAGTCCTTCTGCCCTGCTTTAACTCAGGCAGAAGAATGGCTCTGGTATTTTCTTTTTAAGCACTTCTCCTTCCAAATTTCAAAAGCAATGCAGCGTATCACTTGTATTCAGATTTTCTGAAATCTCTGAAATTAAATTCAGGACTGAAACATGAGTCATTTATTAATTCCTACTGATTCTAATTCCTGGGTGAAGCATAACCCTGTTTATCCAAACAGAACACACGACCTGCCATCTAGGCTTGTCACTGGGTTTCCAGCTAGCAGAGACCTTTTCAAAGCAAGTGACTCATAGCACATAGGAGACACATCCAATTCTGGGTAATGTGAGTTCTGAGATAAGCGTCTCAGATAAATGAAAGTGTGGAGTACTCAGCTTACCAATTAACATTTCCAAAATCTCAGAGGTTAGAGCTTACTCCATAAAGTTAGGAGAAACCCTCCATGCATCATTGAAGACACCAAGTTTGAGCCCATTTCTTGCCTGTGCAGCTCAGATATCTCAGGGAGCGACAGCCGAACCCCGTGGGCTCTGCAGTGAGGCTGCTGCAGCCACTGCTGCTGTGGCTGCTCTCCAAACCAGCAGCAGCATCAGTCTCAGGAATAAATCTGGCCAAAGTTTTGAGCACCACTGGGCAGTTTATGGTTGCAAACTGTATCAACTGTAACCTGTTTTCAATCATTTTCTCTTTGAATGTCTTCTTGTTTCAAATAATAATGGAGAACAAGACTAGGCGAAATTATTGAAGGAGATCCACTTAATGTAGCTCAACAAAGAGTGCACACAGGGAGGATAAACCAAGGAAGTGTACAAGAAAAAGGAAGCTCCACGCAAACTACACATGACAAGTTGGTCATACTTCTGAAGAGTACCTTCATTTTAATTCCTTGTGCATCTTATTACTCTGCCTAACCAGCAATCCCAAAGGCTTTCATTTTACACTCTCCATTTTATTATGTTCTAATCCAATTTGACACAGTAATACAAAAGAATGTATCAAATCCTTCTCTGCCCAGCAAAATGTCCTACTTCAAGTGAGCACTGCAGATTATGCCTGAAATGTCAGCTTTACCTCAAACAATGCCATTAAATTGACCTATTATTTCATGTGCTTTCTTCTGTTTCCTAATAACACTGGAAGATTGTTTTTATCCAAGCCCAGCAGTTTTCATTCTTTGGCCCATAACATCTGTTACCATCCCAGGGTTTGAAATTATTTCATAACACAGATGCATGTCAGCATAAAAATTTTCTACATGCTTAAAAGCAATCTGCTGCCAAACACAAATCTCCAATATCAGAATGATTGTTCTTCTAATCCCAGGTCCTCTGAGCATAAAATCTCTCTCCTGTAACACTGACACTTTTTTCCAGCCAGGCAAAAAGCAGCAGTGGGCTGTATAATGTAGAAATAATTAAGTGGATCAACCTTAGATGAACATGAAACAAACTAGAGAAGCTTTTTGTATATCTACCAGTCAGATTACTCCATTTTCTGTCTCATCAAGAAAAAAAGATGCTTTTTTTTAAGCCTGTGTTTCTTTTGTTGGCATGTTTTGTTTAGTATCCTCTAAAGCATATTCAGGATTTGGGGTGGAGTTTTTTGTTTGTATTTGTAATGGTCATGGATTGATGGCATGTTTGAAGAGACAAAAAGTGGTTACTGTTTCCTTGGTTGCCTCTTCAAACTCAAATGTTATCAGGCAAAACGTGCATGGCTTTGTCACAAAATAGAATGACAACTGTGAGGATGAAGAACCTATGAAGGTGTCAGATACGCAATGGGAAGGTGTCAGTTCATTTCAGATAAAGGAGAACCTTCTCTTTTGGAAAACACCAAGTATCCACTGGCGTAACTTGCTGTGCACCAAGAAAGAACATCCTTTTTCAAGAACTGCTGGTTAACATCACCAGGCACAGAGAAGGATTTCTGCCAACCAGAAATCTAGCTCTGGTTCAGACTGGCTGTTTGGATTCTCACAGTGCTCAGCCTTTGGCACTTGATAAGCAGGTGATCTTACTAGAGAAGAGGAGCTTAGAGCAGGGAGGGGGAATCCAAATCATAAAGAGCAATGTAAATTCCCATTCTTAACTGTGCCAGCATTTTCCAAAATGCCTCCTCATTGTAGGAGGCAAATTTGTGACTTTGGTTTTACTGTATATATAGTGTCTGCCACTGATGCTATTTTTTCAGTTGTCAAATATAATCAAGCTTAATATCTCAGCATGGTACAATGGAAACTGCTCTTTTGCTGATCATCTAACTTTATTTATACATATATAAGTTTGCCCAAGAAAGAAAGGTTTGAGAGTTTGTATTTTGAGGCATTTATGTTGTATGACTGAGATCCAACTGCAATCATAACATCACCAGAAGGAAATTTCAAGTTCCCTGTTTCAGAGATGTTAAAGCCAAACACAGTCTGTCTGGAAGAGGCACAAAAAGAAGCTTAAGTTGTTTTCAGTTGGTTGTTTATGCATGATAAAAATATAAAATATTGAAATCTGACCAAACCTTCCAGATTTTTTTCAGTTCCAAACTATTCTGACCTTAAACTCAAAAAAACCTTCCCCAAAGGTTGCATTGCTCAGGACTGCTAAGAGTCTGTGAGCAATTCAGTGTCTGCCAGATGCACATGCATCAGTGCAGGTCATAAACCCTAAAAAATTGAGGAAAATAAATTTCCTTCTTTGAATGGAATAGGTAATACCGTCCCCAATTTACAGAGAACAGAACAGGCTTGGACATAAAGGATGTGACTTGCTCCAGACACAACATTGCTAATAGCAGAAATGAGAGCAGGTCCAGGATGCGCAGACTCCTGGCAGCAGCTTTAATCCACTCCGTGGAGCACTGCTTATCTCCTCCGACAGTGTGCAGACTCTGTGGCTGGCAGGAACTCAGCTAAGTCCACCTACTCCAGTGCTAAAAACTGTTTAGCTTGTCAAGATGTTTTAGCTAGTATTTCTGCAATCCCTCTTCTGGCAAGTTGCAGGGTTTGGAGCAGGGATGGCGAGCTCAGAAGACCTTTAAAATATTTACAGCGGTTAACAAATTTTTTTGAGTTAGCAGTTTGAGGAGGAATGGAAACAACCCAAATCTCTGCCTCTGTGTATGAATTCAAATCCAAACCATCAATGTTAAGTGCTAGATCTGTTTTTTAGGACTGTGGCATCAAAAGGGAAACACTTTTTTTTTTGTACTACAGAAAACAGATGTAATATTAAACTGGTGTTCATTCATTTAAGACAAGTAGGCTTTGGCATCAGGGAAACAAACAGTTAGCAATGTGGAGATGCACCTATTTAATTGATTTGCATTACAAGTCTCTTTAAAAGAGACAGATTTGCAAACACATACCCTTTGCCCACTTAAAGCATGGCAGAAACTGAGGAACGACAATTATTCATGGCTAGACATATTAAGGCAGTAAACACAAGATGTAAGATTCACCTCACTTAAAACAACCAAACCCAGAAGTACTCAAAAAAACACAGAAAGCATAATTGCCTTCAAGAGGCAGATCTGTGGATATTCA